GGTTTAAGTTGGGCCAACGGTTGGCTTTACTCAGCATGCCATAGTTGGCATGCAAAGTTGGTTCGACCTTGGTTACTTGTAAATACCCAGGTTGGACCAACTTTGGTTACCAAACTTCGCTTGCCAAAGTTAGGCCAACCTAGGCCCAACCATCCAACTCTGGCAGCCAGCCTAAATTCGCACCTGGGTTTGGACTGAAAATACTACATTACAAGTTTCTTTCTCTAAAATTTGTTTTTTTTCTATTAAAGTTAATTGACATAAGAACCTTAACAATAATCAGAAAATTCTGATGCAAGCATATTTTTGATCTCACTGGTTGCTCTCTGCTTGAAGAATAATTTCGTAAATTCCACATTTTGGGAAAATAGGAAGCATTCGTCTTCAAAATCTGTTAGACTGATAGCATTTGAATTTACCAAAAAGACTACAGAAAAATTAATGTCAATAAAAATTTATTTATTTTATAAACGAATAAAGGTATCGTAATTCTGACGTTACTAAATGAAAGTTGACATAATTCCGCATCCAACGAGCCCTATATGAACTTTTTTGGATTAGAGGATTTTCTATAAGCAATTGCTATGTTAGCCAATTGTTTATTAACAATCCTCTAACCCAAACTACTTTATATAGGGCTCGTTGGATGCGGAATTATGTCAACTTTCATTTAGTAACGTCAGAATTAGGATAACTTTATTCGTTTATAAAATAAATAAATTTTTATTGACATTAATTAATTAATTAATATCTCGAAAATAAGAAAAAAGGACATCTCAATATTTTTTGTTGTGAAAATACACATTTTTAGCTTTCAAAAAAAATAAATAAAAAAAGTAAAAAGGACCGAATTAAAAAAAAATCCAAAAAAAGTTTAATTTTAAAAAAAGGGTCAAAATTTGAATTTTATGAAAAATTTTTTGCACCATTTGAAAGAGCAGGAAAAAACCTTTTGAAAACATACATTACAAATATTCACTGTTTAAATTTTAAAAAATTCAACCCCCTTCCTCTTCGACAGTTTTTAAAAAAACCTAACAATACTTCGTAGTTAAATTACTCACCCCTAAGGCTAAACTATGTGCAAGTTACAGCCCGATCCGATCAACTTTTTTTTCACTTATTTCGCTACAGGAATTTTACCCCACATATATCTTTTTTTTCACTACAGAACAAGAAAAAAATATATTTTGCCGATTTTAAAGGGACGACGGAAATCTCACGTGAAATCTCTATTATGTTATATTAATATTATTAATAATATTATTAATTAAAAAATTAAATGAATTTTAAAAATTAAAAATAATGAAATCAAAATTAATAATTAACAAATTTCATATTTTCAAATCGCAGCATTCATGTTTATTAATGATCTAATTTCGGTTCTTAGGCTAAGCATCATTGTTCGGTGGTTAAGGGGGTTCACCCGTGTGATGGGTTCAAAATAAAAAAAAAATTTTTTTTTATAAATTGCATCTATAACTTATGTAGAATATGTGGTTAAAAGGATTTTTCGATATTCAATGACGTTAGAAAGTTATAGCGCTTCAGTTTCTTATCAGCGCCCGTTTTACACACGTGTAATATAATTATGATAATAAATATATAATATTATAATATATATATATATATATATATAATTTTTCTCTAAACTGGCATTCGGTATTGAATTAATATACTGACCGAGTACTTGTTTGCTAATACTGTCTCAACAATATTGGAACAGTATTGGAAAAATACTGGCATGCCAGTATTGATTTGAAGTATTGGCAGAGTACAAAATTTAATCCATATCAGTACTGAACCATTACAAGCAAGCCAACTGTCGGCCAGCCAGTATTCGTACATGACTGAACCAATTGTCAATATCGGCGTTTGATAGAAATTTTGACTTGGGATGTACCATTCTACGGTGAAAAAACCTAACGTAAGAAATATGTTTCCTTCATTTCACAATAGAATGTCATATAAATAGAAAAAAAATAATTTAATTTTCTAATTAAATATTCTTCTTATTTTAAGATATTATCCAGTAGGAAAAAAACACGTTTGTTCCAAAAAAGGCTTTTAAAACAAACATGGTTTTTTTCCCAATGGGCAATTAGTCTATTTATCTCTTATTCAAATTTATATTTTTATATTAAATATTAATATATATATGTGACGCTCCACGGTAAAAGGCTGCTTAGCTGTTTTTGACAGAACTAAACTTTGCAGTAAAAATAAATAAAAGTGATTAGTTTTCGGTACAAACTATCATTATTTAATTATTTATTAGATGCAATATTTACTGTAAAAAAACCTTTTGATGTTACATAATCAAAAACAAATCTTTAATAAAGTAACAACTACCATGAACATAACATAAAATTTTAAGCTGCTAAGCACTCTTTCTAAAAATGTTGAATTTGGTAAAATCTTGCCAAAAAATAAAAGTTTTTTTGTCTTGAACTTTTAAGAATTTTTTTTTTAAATTATTATTGAAAAAAAATAAATTTTTTATAAACAAATTAATTTTTTTCAATTTGGGCCCGATTAAATTTTGTTTTTTTATGATTTATTTATGCCTTCAAATATACAGAAGACTGTGCAACAAGAGCCGGAATGGGCCTGATGAGTTAAATAAGTTTAAATGAATTTTCTAAAATTGCGTGCAAGCCCCACGCGCGCTACGCTACACAGTCCGTGGACAAATTAACATAGAGGCTATAAATTTCAACTGTTTTTGATGTTCTTGGTCTTATTTTAAAGATGATATAATTCTGCATTAAGCCTTTAATTTTGTTTTTAAAAAAAAAAATTTCAATTGTTTAAACAATTTTTTAAACAATTTTAATGATTTTAGTTCCTCATTACGAAATTAATAACATATGGAGAGAAATGTGCAATATTATTAGTCATGGTAAACGACTAAAACTTACTTTTATTAATTTTTACACGTAGCATTGTTTAAACAACCCTTAATTAACAAATACATACTACCACTACTTTTACATGTTTCATTTTTGGGTTTGCTTTAAGTTTTTTTAATGATAATTTTTATAATTATTATGTATTTTTATAATGTATTTTTATAATATTTAACAAAATCAATAATTAATTAAAGAATTTTTATATTTTTAATAAAAATTTTATATAAACAAAATATTTTTTTGTTATTTTTACCCAGTCTCTTTACAGTTCTTTTCTTTATTTTTTAATTATTTGTCTCATATGTTAATTTGTCTACGGCACACTGTGCAGCGTAGCGCGCATGGAGCTTGCACGCAATTTTTAAAAATTCATTTAAACTTATTTAACTCATCAGGCCCATTCCAGCTCTTTTTGCAAAATCTTCTGTATATTTTTTGGCATGAATAAATCATAAAAAACAAAATTTAATCGGGCCAAAATAAAAAAAAGTTATTTTGTTTATTGGTGTTTTAGAAAATTATTTAATTAAATTTCCCTCTTCGAAACACTAATAGCTCGAAAGTTAAAAGTTAACAAAAACAATCGGTTTAAAAATATGGGATCGGCTGTCCCTCTCCTACGGTTTATCTTGCAGTTAAAAGAAAAATAAGTAACGGTAGCTTAATTTAACATATTTATTCCTTCAAATTATCACACATTAGTTTACAACAACAAAGATCTAAATTATTACAAGGCAATAGTTTATTCTTGAAAACACATTAAGAAAAATACAGTTAGAAAAGTTCAGCAAAAGATAATTAATAGTTCTGTAAAATCTAATTAACAATTTACGTATAAAAAAAATTAAAATCTGGAAAATATATTATAATATCAAGTTCAGTAAAATACTAAAGTTTAATAATATGCTAATTTCTTAATTTATCTTGTTAACAACTTCTAAACATCAACAGTTCAATTATCAAACCCAGAACAATCTTTATTTTCTAATTAGATTACTCACGTTTCAAGTGTTAGGTTATATTCGTATGGAACGATACATTCATTACTTACGAAAAAGATGTCCTTATCTCTTACATTAGATTGGAATTAGAAGAGTCAAAAATAATCTTTTTAGTTCCTCTTCTAATGCGGGCTCGAACGGATATCTATTGGTTGAATCCAATGTATGTTTCATTCGAAAAATGATGCCGCAATGGGAATATTTAACTAGTATAGCTATAGATAATTGTGGGAAGGATCATTTACGAGACATAGTGAAGAAAAGTTAATAGGAGAAATTTTTCATCAAACAGTGGTGACTTGGAAATCGTCGTAATTTTCTACGCAAGAAATCGCTATAAGAAGGTGTCCTTACGATTAACAAACTTAATTCTGCGCTTAGGATTCATTCTTTATAGTGTTCAAAAAATTAATATCACTATTGACAAGTTTTCATTCGTTGTAACCAATCTTGAGGTTTCACAAATTATGTTTCCCTTGTAGGGGAATTTTTGATGATATGAAATTTTGAATGAGGAAATGTATTTCTCAATACATTTGTCAAGCTCTGCTGTTTTACAGAACGTATTTGAGGCCATTAACTATATTTGATAAAGTAGGCTTAACTTTAATTATAGTTGCGAAACAAGGTGTTGCAACTTCAGATTTTCATATGACACCTTAAGAGTCTTTTATTTTACCATGGAAATGCATTTTAAGTATGACGTATAAATTTAATAAATTAAATAAATCTGCTTGACGTCAAAATCACTGGCCTCAACTAATAAAAATGTAAGAAAATTTATTATATAAATTTTCGCCGTCAGGCGCCAATTAATTTTTAAGATAATTAATAAACTATTTCACATCCCCTTTTACAACAACGAAACAACACCTCTGAGATGCTCTCAATCTCCAGAGGGAATTCTGCCAAAACACCGGTAAGCAGAAATACCAGCGGCGAGACACGACTTAGACAAATATACCACTTACCCACGATGTCCACCCGAACACGTGGTCGGCTTCTCAGCTTCTTCCGCTGCTGAAACAACTCTAACACACAGTACTTCACCACAATATCCCAAAAAAGAAATAGTCCACGGTTCTCTGTATAATATCTCTTTATTTCACACAAAAGTACTGCTCACACTATACAATTCGCGGTATTTACACTCCACGAGTTCACCTCGTGTAACATACGCGCTACCAAAAAACTCTATGTCCTCGCGACAGTGATCGTAATCGATTCTCTAATGGACGACAAAGCATTGAGATTTTCGGCGTCTCTGTATGCCTCATCCCACTGGCTTCGTCATATCGCTGTCTCTCTCTCTCCGCCGTCACTGCAGCCTCGCTCCTTCTCTCTCGCTCCACAGTGGCAGTGACCCCTATTTAGAACTAATAACCAAAATTATTCGAGCGAGCGACACACATCCAAATTACTAGTGGGTCACCGTCATATAACAACAACAAAAAAATGATAATATAAAAAGATTTTATTTCTTACCAAATCAGCGGCAACCATGGTCCTCTCCCTCGATTCTCTCTGGCCATGATTCACCCGTTACTCTATCTCTGTCCGTCTGTCCCTCCTTCTCTTACTCTGGCCTACTCCTTTCCTCTCTCTCTGTCCGAACTCCTTTCTCTCTCTCTCTCTGGCCTGGAACTTCCGCCTACACGTCCGCCCTCTTTCCCAACTGCGTCCTCCTCTCTTCCAGCAGCTGGTTTATGGCCTTGTCTATGGTGGAGGCCGGCAGTCCCGCTAGGGCTCTCGTGATCTCTAGGATCTTTGCTGTTAGATCCTCGTCACCGCCCTTCTCCTTCATCTCTCTGTCCTTGACCTCTGCTGATGAGGTCTCCTCTCTTGTTGGCCTCCTTGCCTCGGTCTCCTCTTGTTTGTTGACCCGCTCGACTCGGTCAACCACCTCTCGACCTCTCCTTGCGTATGCCTCTGCACAACGCGGACAAGTCTCGACCGTCACCAATCGCCGACCACAATTCAAGCAATATGGCCATCTTTTGGTGCTCTGACAAGCCTCCAACTTATGGTCGAACCTCCAACACTGAAAACAGGCATATGGCGGGGGATCGATTGCACTCACCGTGGGAATTGCCTTTAAATTCCCGAAGATCACTCCTGAAGTTTTGACCTTCAGCGGTGCTCTCCTTGTTCCCACCTCTCTACCTCTTTTCTCCTCTACTCTCTCTGGCCGTTGTGTCGCTGTATTTCGGGAATTCCGAGAAGACTGAGCGCTCATTGCACTGACCGCTTCTCTCCTTACAGGTTCCCGACGGTTGGGCGGTCCGGGATGTGGGGAGTGCGAACGCGCTTCCCTCGGAGTCGGTGCCGTGCTCTCCATATCCTCCTTCCTGAGGGCTGGCTTCTGTCTGGCCGACATGGCCTCGCTTTGGCGACTCTTTAGCCGGGCCAAATCTCTCGTCGGATACACCGACCCGTGACGGAGGAAACTCTCCAGCTCGTGTTCTGCAAGGCGGCTCTCATATGCCTCTTCGCTCTCCCCCTTGCTTCTCTCTGCTGGCCAAGTATACGGGACCACGATCTCCACTTTGTTCTGAGTGTGAGAGACTGCGAGTTGTTGTCTCTCGAACCCTTCTAATCCCCGGAGATTCTCCCGTCTCTCTTCCCTCCTTCTTTGGCCTGTTGTTCCACCCACTGCACCTTCCTCCGTTCCTGACTCTCTCTCTGGCCTCTTGGTTTTACCCTCCCCTGGTCTCACCGGTTCCAACGGGTTGGGAAGCGGCACATCTCTATTAGGGAACATCAGTAATGATGCCCCTCTCGTAGCCGTCGTGTCCGGTTGGAACTCGCCCCCTGGCCTATGGGCGGATTGACTACGACTTCTCGTCATTCGTCCTTGACCTCGCGGTTCCACACCGAAGTCCGTCGATGGACGATGACGACTTCTCTCCATCCCTCTCTGCCCGATGCGATCGTACGGCATTTTTCTCCTACGTCTCTCTCTGTCCCTCTCTCTGGCCTCTCTGCTCTCTCTCACGTCTCTCTGCAAACCACAATACAATTAGTTATGTCACTATTATCCCCTTGGTGGGAGATATCGCTTTAAGTCAGTCACGTGAACTTTAGGGATTCTACGGCTGTCTTCGGCGCGTAACACGAATACGGTGGGCGATAACACTTCGACTATATCATAGGGCCCTTCGAATTTGGGTGCTAACTTAGTTGCGAACCTTTGGGTACCACTCGACAGTTTGTGTGTCCTACGTAACACCATATCTCCTAATTTAAATATACCCTCTCTACGGCCTTTATTATAATATTTGGTTTGCCTCTCTCGCTCTTTGTCAATTAGTCTCGCTACTAAATCTCTCAGCGCATCTAATCTCTTAACCCGATCTACCCACTCGTCTGGATTGATTCTAACCACTTTATCTCTCTTTTCGATTTCTCTACGCAAACTTTTGACTGGCCTAGGATGTCGACCATAGTTAAGAAACGCAGGGGACGTTTTAGTCGCAGCTTGTGTCGCGGTATTCATTGCGTGACGAAACTCGTGAATATGCAAGTCCCAGTCACGATGATCGGCCCCAATGAAAGTAGATATCATCGTCTTCAATGTTCTGTTACTTCTTTCCACTGGGTTGGCCTGGGGATGATAAGGTGGTGTTGTAATATGTTTGACTCCATATTCTTCTAAACTTGACTTTAGAAATTTGTTGTCAAATTCTTTACCGTTATCTGATAGGAAATATTCTGGTGTTTCCCATCGAAATAACACCAACTCCTCAAACGCTCTGGCTACCGACTTTCCATCTGCTGACCTGAGGGGTTTAACCTCAACCCACCTCGAGAATAAATCTTGAAACACCACCAAGTATTTATAACGATTCTTACTCGGTGGAAACTCCATTGTGTCCGCTGCTACAACTGACCATGGTCTTTCGACTATCCTCTGGCCCATCATACCTACTGGTCCCGCTTGAGAAACTTTATGTACTTGGCATTGTATGCAATGCGTCACGAAATTGTGCACATCGTTCCAAATACCTGGCCAATAGTATTCTCTAGCCACACGATCATAGGTCTTTTCTATTCCCAGATGACCCGCTGACGCTTGCGCATGCGCGTCCTCCATAACTCTTTCTCTGTACTCTTCTGGGACGACCAATTTCCACCCATCCTCATTTCCTACTATCGGCACTAAAAGTGGATCACTTCTATGGCGATAAAGGTTATCATTTTCCACTGTCCATCCTGGAAAACGTTGAGGGTGTTGGATCACTAACTCTCGGCGCGTGAGGTACCATTGGTCCTCAATGGTTTCAAACGCGGACACTAACTCTTCTTCACTCTCTTGTAATCTGGATAATGCATCTGGGACATGATGTTGTGCACCCTTTCTGTGAACTATGTCAAAGTCCCACTGTTGCATTTCCAGTGCCCATCTCGCAAGACGACCTGTTGGGTCTCTTAAATTCCTTAGCCACTTGAGGGCACTGTGATCGATAATCACATGAAATTTGTATCCCTCAATGTAAGGTCTAAACTTTTTAATTGACCACAGCAACGCTAAGCACTCTTTCTCTGTCACGCTATAATTTCTCTCGGCCTCCGTTAGGACTCGACTTATATACATGACCGGATGTTCTCCGTCCTCAAATTCCTGTGTCAATACCGCTCCAATGGCGTAATCGCTGGCATCGCACTGTATAGTGAAGGGCTTGGTGAAATCTGGGCGAGCCAACACTGGTGCCGAAGTGAGCTTCTCTTTAAGCTTTTCAAACGCCTCTTGTTGTTCTTCTCCCCACTCCCACGTCCGTCCTTTATGCAGCAATCTGACCAAAGGTATCTTGATATCACTGTCGTTAGGAATAAATCTGGAGTACCTACCAACCATGCCTAAGAAACGACGAAGTTGTTTTATGTTCTTCGGCTCCGGATAAGTCATGACTGGTTCGATCTTCTTCGGGTCTGGCCTGAGTCCTTCACTGTCCAAGAGATACCCTAAATATGTGACCCTAGAGCATCCAAACTCACACTTCTCTGGATTCACAACTAGTCTGGCCTCATTTAGTTTTCTCAATACTATCTCTAACCATTTGATGTGTTCCTCAAAAGTATCCGTGACTACTATGATATCGTCCAGATATCCGAAGACAAATGGTTCAAACTCTGGCCCGAAAAGTGCGTCAATAAGACGCTGGAACGTCATTGGGGCGTTCGTTAGCCCAAACGGCATCCTGCGATACTGCCACAATCCTGACCCTGGAATTGCGAAAGCAGTATACTTCTTGCTCTCTTCGGCCATTGGTATCTGATGATACGCGAGTTTCAAGTCGATTTTTGACAAGAATTTTGCTCTTCTGAATTTATCCAAGATGGAGTCGATCGTCGGTATGGGGTACGCATCTTTCACCGTGACTTTGTTCACGTCTCTGTAATCCATACACTGCCGAAAATCGTTCTCTCCCTTTCTGGCAATAACTGGCGCGCTTCTCCACTGGGCCGCAGATGGTTCGATGATACCTTTTTTCCAAAGTTTCTGCGTGTTTTCCTGCGCCCATGTGATCATGATCGGAGACATCCGTCTCGGACGATGTTGGACAGGTGTCTCATCCGTCACACGGATGTGATGTTCTGTTAGGTTGGTTACTCCAAGTTCGTCTGATTCTGGCAGTACCCAACGATCCACTATGGCTTGGACAATCTGTCTCTGCTCATCATCCAATGCGGAGATGCCAGCACACTCTGCAATAATTATTTCTCCACTGTCTGTGTCTTCACTCTTGTCAAATTCGTGCCACTCTCCACCGAATACTCTCCATAAACCCTGGCCTAACTGGACTTCCATTTTCCAGGCTTTACAAAAATCAACCCCCAGTATGACGTCAGGTGTCAATGACTCTATGACCATGACCTCAAACTTCTGTACATAACCATCGACTACCATGGTTAAATTCAAAAGTCCAGCGTTTTTGGTGGTGCCCCCTAATGCACTCCTAATTGCTGATCTGGACGGCTGTATTCGGTCCTTGTAAGGTTCGGATACTTTGGAGCTGATTACCGAAATCGTTGCTCCGGAGTCGAATAATGCTTCATATGGTTTATCGCCAATGGCCATCCTAAAGAAATATCTATTCTCTGTCCTGGATTCATCCAACTTCTCAACCATAATCAGGTTTGGGTCAGCTGTGCCCATCACAGCCTTTCCCCTCCCCAGGACATTAGGTACCGGACCCACTTCCGTACTTTTAGTCCTACATTCCTCACTAACACTTCTCTCTGGCCTGCAATGGAGTGAGTTCTCCTCACTCGATCTAGCCCTACTGTCGCTTGGCACAAATTTGAACACATCCTTCTCGGTTAACTCTTCTCTACAGACTTTATCTCTCTCTAACTCTAGCTCACGCTCTGTTTTTACCCAACTACAAGTCGCACCATCGTTAATTGGGTATTCAACCTTCTCTACTCTTCCCTGGCCTAAGATCCCTTCGGGCAGAGGGGGGGTACAAAAGGGTGTTGTGCCCCCCATGTGCCGTTTCCCAAATATGTCCTAAGTGTTGCACAACTTGTACAGGTTAGGAAGGTCACTCCCGGGGTTTTACACACTAGACAACTCTCCACTTGAGGTTGTCTCATAGGACATTTCTTCGCATGATGTCCTGGTTGTTGGCAAGCGAAACAAACGCGTTTGGGACATTCCGATGCACGGTGTCCCACCGTCTGGCAGTTGTAGCAAGGTCCCAAGAATTGTTTAGGACTTGCTGGTGTTGGAGCGCCACTCTGCCCCGTTTTTCCCCCTTTTTGTCCAAATGCTTTGGGGAAATTAGGTCTGGGTCCTCCCGCTACCATAGCTGCAAACGTTTGTATCGGCAACGAAACAAACTGCGGTTGCGTTTGGTCTAACGTCTCATTGGTCCCTTAAGCGCTAGGGGTGGGGGTCACTACCTTTTTTATAGCGTCCACCGCGTCCTGACCTTGAGCTTTCTCATTTTTCTTGCCCTTCTTGGCCTTACTCTTCTTTTTACTCTTTTTAGTGGAGTGGTTACTCCCACTCGACTCTTTCTCCGATCCCGATTCATTTTCGCGTGCTGCTACCTTCTCGCCCTTCGCACTCTTATTTCCGGCCCTTTTCTCTGATTTCCCTTTATACGCGGCCGATGGGAAAAGCATTTTCTCTTTTGGTGGAGGGGGCACATACTTCTCGTCCAAGCTTCTTGTCTTCTCGAATTTCCTCAGAATCTTCTCCATCTGGCCAAGTGAGTCGTACTTCTGGCGATCCAGATGGCGCCTGTACTCGGGTAATAATCCTTTGAAAGCGATTTTATTTTGCCTCTTACGGTCGAGTGGGTACTTCATATGTCCCAGGATGACTCGAAAGCTACGCAAATATGAAGAAATTCGTTCGTCCTTTCCTTGGGTCCTACATTTTAGTTCGTCGATAATTTCCTCGTCATCGACATTCACCAAGTACTCGTTTGTAAAGGCTCGTTTGAAACTTCTCCACGTTTTTAATTCATGGCGAAGGGTACGGAACCAAATAATCGCATCCCCTTGCAAAATAATTGGGAGTGTTTGGAGTATATCCTTGTCAGAGAGTGTGGCACAGTCCCTACAATCCGACAATCTTTCTAGAAATACCTCCGCATTCTCATTCTCGTACCCCTTAAATTTTAAATCCCATTCTTTCAAAGTTTTAAGAACTTTCGACCTACAGATAGATTCTGCTACATTCTCCTTTCGATCCTCGCTCTGGCTAGTCTGAGAATCACTTTCGGATTCCGAGTTACTGGAAGAATCCAAAGAATTGTTCCTTCTTCTCTTATTCTCTTCCGACTTCTTGTATCCCCTCCTCCTGTCCCTATTATCTGCTCTACTATCTCTATTGTTGACTCTCTTTTCCCTAATCTCTCTCTTTCTCTGGCCATCCTCACTACTACTCCTATTTGTGTTTTTTCTGTCCCGATTTTTCTTCCTCCGTACTTCCCTAAATTCATAGTCCTCTTGACTCCTATAGCTTCTGCTGTCCCCAGACTGACCACTAACGTTACAGTTACTAACGTTGCCCCTACTTGCCCTACTCCTTACTTCGCTATTTCTCTCGCTTTTACTACTCAACGATTCAAAGTCTAAGGCCCGTTGCCCTTTTGATGGTACGCGTTGGGAATTCTCGTTTTCCTTCGTAGAAGAGCTGTTTTGTGCTTGATTTTCTGGGGTAGGGCTAGTTATTCGCTTCGGCTCATTTTGAGCTATCGGCGATTCGTTGGGGTTCGCTGTCTTTCTCTGAGGGGACGAAATCCTCGCGTGTTGATGATGGGTCAAACTATACCCTTGTCGGATTTCGGCCCTACATTGGCTCTGTTGAAACTCCCACCCCCCCTCGGAGTAATGTTTGTCAATTATTTCGGCAGCCCGCATAAGTCTTTTAAATTCGGGTGACAAATTTAATTTACCGAACGCCTCGTGTTGCTTTAATACATTAGGGGCCATAGTCGGGGATACTATTGATTGGGCGGGGGTTGACACTACCATGGTCGACATCCCTATCTGTGCCATAGAAGTGGTGGGGGAAGTGTTGGTAGTCATTGCCGTTGTCACTAATGGTGGTGGGGGTGTGAATTGTGGTGTTGATGGATTGATGGTCGGATTATCTCTACTGTACAATCTATCTTCCGCCGGTATTGTCGTACCCACCGTTGTATTCACACTTTCGGTCAATGTACGCCCTAAAAATTCTTTCCCCCCCTCTTCAGAATCGGTCTCGTCTGACGATAATTTCTTCCCCCCTCTCCGTTGAGAGACATTTGGGAAGGGGCTGCTGTGTGGCTCTGACAATGCTTCCTTGAGGAATATTTTATCAGAAGACGCGCAATCATATTGTTCGCTAAATGGGACATCAATTTCTGGATCGAGGCACATTCTCAACTCTATCCGGAATAATCTCTCTTTAAGCACCTGCTCTGTACCGTTAATACATGAATGGTGCAACAACAATTTTGTTACAACTTGTCCCGGTGGCATAAATGCAATTGTGTCCCAGGCCCGATTCGCTTCTGGAATTTCCATTAGCCTTCTCATTCGCTCATGGTACGCCTGCATTTCGTCGATCGCTCTGGCCATTTTTATTTTAATTGAATTTAATCGACACGAGAGAATTAAATAAATTAATAATAATAATTAAAAATTTAAGTAAATTTTGAATTCGCGAAAGAATACGCAAAAAAAACAAAAATTGAAAAAAAAATAAAATTTCAATTTGTATATCCGGCCCTGTAACCACCAACGCTTGTACAGGGGCGCACGATTTTTCTGGTGCGAATTAAAATTTTTCTCTACCGCGACTGACCAATGATTCAACTAAAACTCTTTCTCTCTCTAACTCACTAGTAATAGTGAATCACGTCACTGGTATCGCGTTCTCTCTCTATCCAATTATCCTTCCGCCTGAATCTATCGTCGCGTGATTTTAACACATTTTAAATCACTGCGCAAAATCAAATGTCACGTGAATTTACTGAATTTTATTTCCGGCCGAGCACATGGTCGAAAATTCCAATACTTTTAAATAATTTGCACTAATTGTTTAATTAGCCATTATTTATTGTTCTCGAAAAATAATCAATTTATTTAAAAATCAGCAAAAATATCTCACTGTCCCTGATAACGATAATTTTCAATAACGGAAAATTCAATGAAAATTTTTATGACGTCACAATCGCGATCTCACAATTAATTAACACACCGATCTAAATTTTACACGGTATGAACATCGCGAAATTTAATTTAGAGAAATAATTGGGAAACACAATAATAAATTCGTCTGGCCAAACACAACTGGCCAAAATTATTTTTCCACTTGAAAAATATCTGGCCACAATAAATATACAATACAAAATTTTATTTCATTTCACATAAAATTTTATCACCAATTAAATAAATTTGTCGTGTCTCGCTGTTCTGACCTGGCCCCACGTTGGGCGCCAATAATTTATGACGTATAAATTTAATAAATTAAATAAATCTGCTTGACGTCAAAATCACTGGCCTCAACTAATAAAAATATAAGAAAATTTATTATATAAATTTTCGCCGTCAGGCGCCAATTAATTTTTAAGATAATTAATAAACTATTTCACATCCCCTTTTACAACAACGAAACAACACCTCTGAGATGCTCTCAATCTCCAGAGGGAATTCTGCCAAAACACCGGTAAGCAGAAATACCAGCGGCGAGACACGACTTAGACAAATATACCACTTACCCACGATGTCCACCCGAACACGTGGTCGGCTTCTCAGCTTCTTCCGCTGCTGAAACAACTCTAACACACAGTACTTCACCACAATATCCCAAAAAGAAATAGTCCACGGTTCTCTGTATAATATCTCTTTATTTCACACAAAAGTACTGCTCACACTATACAATTCGCGGTATTTACACTCCACGAGTTCACCTCGTGTAACATACGCGCTACCAAAAAACTCTATGTCCTCGCGACAGTGATCGTAATCGATTCTCTAATGGACGACAAAGCATTGGGATTTTCGGCGTCTCTGTATGCCTCATCCCACTGGCTTCGTCATATCGCTGTCTCTCTCTCCGCCGTCACTGCAGCCTCGCTCCTTCTCTCTCGCTCCACAGTGGCAGTGACCCCTATTTAGAACTAATAACCAAAATTATTCGAGCGAGCGACACACATCCAAATTACTAGTGGGTCACCCGCCCGCTTGATCTCTACCTTACCGCAGCCTAGTACCGGCGCAGGATCGGGGATCAATAACAGAGGTCGTGACGATTCACTCTGTCACATAAGTCATTGACGTAATATGAGTTCTTGGTACTTAGTTAGCTAATTAATGTCAATTGTGCAAAAATCAAAACATATCCACATCAATTCAATCGTGGTGTTGTCGACGCATTCGAGAATTTCGGGGTTGCTTAAATTTAGTCTTATAGAATTTTGTTACTAGAGAAAATTTTGATAATTATTATTATGTGATTTATTTAAGGAGGGTTATTAACCTTTGATGACACTACTTATTCTAATCTCGAAATAACTAATAAGAAATGGATGACTCAATTGATGAGTCATTAAATATATTTATTATCTGATATTAAATTTATTATAAATATAAGAATTCGCATTCTGAAGCAAGGCTTTATAAAAATAAAAAAATCGGTACCACTTGGTTCGTTACATTTATCAAAAATTAATTTTTTTCATTAACCCTCGGAGCACATACTGGGTCACACAGACCCTGTGATTAATTTCAATGAAGTGTAATTTGAAAAGTCGGCAATACAACACGAACCTAAGGCCATATAGTGGTAACTAACTAATAAGGAATAATAAGTAACATGATAATCCAAAGAAAATAATAAAATACTAGTAAATATGTTATTAAAAAAGTATAGTTTTAAAAAGTTGTGTCGAAAATCACTTTTTTATCGTCTTAAAAGTTACCTTCGTTAAACTACAAAATAAATACCTTTTTTAAAAAATAAAATAAGGTGGTATTTTTTCCCTTATTCTAACACACTTCGAGAATATAAATCCCAATTTTTAGCTTAAAATATTAAAAATTACAAAAGTAACATTTTTTTTTAAATTCAATTTTTTCTTTTTATTTAGTTAACTTTACGAATTTTTTTCAATATGCAAATAATTTAATAATATTTCTAAACTGCATATTCTTATTTTACAAGGTTCAATGAATAAAAAAATATTTTTTTTGTGTTGATCAGTCCAATAGTTCAAAAATGGGGGAGTTTTGTAAAGTAAACAGGGTCACAGCGACCCAGACTGTGCTACTTGTTCGAAAAAAGAGGTGTGTGCTCCGAGGGTTAAAAATTTAAAAACAAAATTTTTTCATGAATTTCTTAAAATTTGAAGAAAAAAAACTTTAAATTTTTGCAAGATTTTACCAAATTCAATATTTTTAGAGATATAAGTCATTTAAAAAAGGTCTATTTTCGTAAAGCCAAAAATTCATAACTAAAAAATTTGTCCAATTTTTCAAAAATAAAAAAATACGTATTTCATGTTTTTCTACAAAGAATAAGAAAAAAATATATTTACCCGAATTTTAAACCTCGACTATAAATCTCACGTGGAATCGCCTATATATTTTTTCTTTTTGTTTTACAGCTATATCAAGAACGGTTTATATTATCGCCAATGAAGTTAATAATATAATGTTAAACAATAGAAATTTTTAGACATCATCTGGTCTAGAAATTTTGAAAGCACTATTCCTCCTGAAGAAAATGCCTCAAAGCAGACTTAGAAATATTAATTTTCTTCAGAGTTATTGAGGTTTTTGTAGGTGGGACATATATGTCCCATGGGAACGAAAGGGTTAACCCTTGTGTACCTGAGCTGGGTCCATCGGACCCAGACAATTTGCTTTTTCATCTACTTCTAAATAAGAAATTTTGTTTTCAAAATTATTATCAAAGCCGATTAGCTGATAGTATAACGTACCTTTTTAAAAACGAGAATTTATTATGTCCGCCATATTGAATCCGCCATTTTGAAAAATGGAAACTGGATTCGTAAGCAGCAACCTTAAAACCCCCGAGTAACGATTTTCAAGCGAATCCGACCGATTTTTTTTAAATTTTCCGCCATATTATATTGAATCCGGCATTTTGAATTTTGCAAAACGGATACCGGATTCGTAATCAGCGACCACAAAAACCCCTAAGTAATTATTTTCAAGCAAATCCGAACGTTTTTTTTTAAATTCGTCCACTATATTGGATTCGCCATTTTGAATTTTATAAATATGACGTCTGATTCGTAATCAGCGAGCCCAAAAACTTAAGAATACCCAGTAATAATCAAATTTATTTAATTATTTCTTTTGTACTGTACATTTTTTTGAATCTCTGGACACTAAATGAACAAAATTTCAAAGATTCAAAATCGTAACCGATCCTCCTGCATGACTTTTTATGTATTTATTGTTATTTTATGCATTATAATGAAAAATTGCTTCATTACGATGTGCAGATCAGTTGAAATTACTAGTGCAATTTTTTTATACTTAATAAATGTAATAATAATAATAATAATAATACATAACTATAATTTTTGGGAATAAAAGTTGGATGGTCAATATTGTAATTTTAAATCCACACTGTCAACAAAAATAATAAGAGAGTATTTTCCCTAGAACACCGCAGATGCAAACATTAGATTATCCCAATTTTCTATCACTTCTTATTCTTATTAATATACGGAACATTAGTTACTGCTATTGGAATTTGTATTTGTATCGTGTATGAAAATGAATGATAACAAGTTGGCTAAAATTAGTTCAAAGTTTTGTAGATGTAGTTGATTTATTTTTAATCTATTTAAAAATGACTTATTACTAAAAGTTAAATCACGCCTGTTGTGATGATTGAAATATAAAAAAAAATAAAAAAAAAATTTAGAAACTTTTTTCATCACAGTAAACAAAGAGAAGCTGATCAAAACTTATGAGAATAGAAATTTTTCTTTAAATAATTCAAAATTTTGTATCGAGCATGTGTGTAAATTGTCAAACAATATTATCTGAACTTATCAACGGCAATTCTATCGTTGGAAATTTTAAATTACTTAAAGAAAAACTTTTATTCATAAAAGTTTGGAAGATCTTTTTATGATTTTCTGTGAAGAAAAAAAAGGTTTTAAATTACCGTCTTTGCAAACCATTTTTTTACCACATAAGGTACAAACTTTCTATTTTAATCATGACAAAACGCGTGATTAAAAATAAATCAACTACATCTACAAAACTTTGAACTAATTTTAGTCAACTTGTTATCATTTATTTTCTTACACGATACAAATACAAATTCCAATAGCAGTAACTAATGTTGCGTATATTAATAAGAATAAGAAGTGATAGAAAATTTGGATAATCTAATATTTGCATCTGCGGTGTTCTAAGGAAAATACTCTCTTATTATTTTTGTTGACAGTGCAGATTTAAAATTACAATATTGATCATCCAACTTTTATTCCCAAAAATTATAGTTATGTATTATTATTATTATTTTTACATTTATTAAGTATAAAAAAATTGCACTAGTAATTTCAACTGATCTGCACATCGTAATGAAGCAATTTTTCATTATAATGCATAAAAAAACAATAAATACATAAAAAGTCATGCAGGAGGATCGGTTACGATTTTGAATCTTTGAAATTTTGTTTATTTAGTGTCCAGGGATTCAAAATATGGGACGTTCCATGTCAACCGGATCAGTGCTCTGTACATAATTGTATGGGATCAATTGAAACGTTTAAGGTCTTAAAATGTTCATCTCGAAGTACTTTAACATTTACAATATGGCCTTTTTAAAAATTCAAAATGGCGGCCGAATTATGACACATTATATGGCTGAAATGTAGAAAATGTATAATTAAAACATTATTTAAGAAGCAAAAAATGTTCGAATTGGCATTAAATTGATCATTAACAGTGCTAGGGGTTTACAGAATCAAAAAATGCTGACACTTTTCAAAATTTCTAATAATACATAATTGCAGATCCAAAATGGAGGAATAGTGTTAAAAATGACTCAATTTACTCGAAACTTGTGACTCGGGGGTTTTTGGGGTCGCTGATTACAAATCTGAACTCAATTTTTATAAAAAATTACCCAATTCACTAGAAACTTGTGACTCGGGAGTGTAAAACAAGTTTCGAGTGAATTGGGTAATTTTTTTAAAAACAGTTCGCCATATTGGATCCGCCATTTTGAATTTTTGAAAACTATTATCGGATTCGTAATCAGCGACCCCAAAAACCCCTGAGTGGCAATTTTCAAGTGAATTTAATTAATTTTATAAAAGTTAATCGCCATATTAGATCCGCCATTTTGAATTTGAAAACTATCATCGGATTCGTAATCAGCGACCCCAAAAACCCCCGAGTCACAAGTTTCGAGTAAATTGGGTAATTTTTTTTTAAAACAGCCCGCCATATTGGATCCGCCATTTTGTATTTTTGAAAACTGAGTTCAGATTTGTAATCAGCGACCCCAAAAACCTCCGAGTCCTAAGTTTCGAGTAAATTGAGTCATATTTTTAAAACTATTCCTCCATTTTGGATCTGCAATTTTGTATTATTGAAAATTTTGAAAAGTGTCAGCATTTTTTGATTCTGTAAACCCCTAGCACTGTTGGTGATCAATTTTATGCCAATCCGAACATTTTTTGCTTCTTAAATAATGTTTTAATTATACATTTTCTACATTTCAGCCATATAATGTGTCATAATTCAGCCGCCATTTTGAATTTTTAAAAAGGCCATATTGTAAATGTTAAAGTACTTCGAGATGAACATTTTAAGACCTTAAACGTTTCAATTGATCCCATACAATTATGTACAGAGCACTGATCCGGTTGACATGGAACGTCCCATAATTAATCAAAAAACAGTCTAACAGTCACAATAATTCAACCAAATAAAATTAAATTTAAAAGAATTAATTTATTATTTAGTGTTAATAATGAGAGAATGGTATATTTGATTTAAAGAGGTAATATCAGTTTTTTTGTTAATTGAATTATCATTCCTAATAATATGAAACATTTCTTTGAATAATATTTTTTTATGATTCTGTTCTGTACAAATAATTTTAGTGTTTTCAAAGTGAAAATTATGATCAAAGTCATGTGAATGAATTGTGAGAGCTGTGCTTCTATTATCGAGTCTACAATCTCTCTTGTGACGGTAAATTCGATATCGGAAGA